CTTCTCTCAAGCAGGTCATAGAAATTATAGTTACCACCCCTAAAAGTGAGTCATAAAATCTAGACCTCTTATCTTAACCTTCCCATATCCTCTTGTATCCAGAGCTGGTCATGAAAAGATTCGTACCTAACTTTTCTGAAAGATCAATTCCCCCTCATTCAAGCACACTAACCTATATACCAAGTGAAAGCCACAGAGACACCAAGGAAAATTTTGGCAAACAAGTTCTCCTCCCCCTCAGTCACTGATCCAGATAACACCTCTTGTCTAATTACATTTCCATATGGCTATCCAGACTACCCATTCTTCAAACCCAAATATTAAAGTAGTTTTCTGTCTCTGAATATTCACACCTCCTGTGTCATATAGTCCACTGAGTAAATAAACGTGCCATGCTTTTCTCCTGTCCACCTGTCTCACCACCTGTAAACAAAGGTCTACTTGTTTCACTCCTTGATATAGAGTCTCACTATGTAGCCCTGGCTGTCCTGAAACTTCATCTGTAGACCAGACTGACCAGAGATCAACCTGCCTCTGCCTCCCAAGTGCTGGGATTAAAGGTGGGGGTGGTGGGGCTCTTTTTCAGCTTTTAAACTTGATTTTCCCTGAGGCAAGAGACATGGCTCACTAATTAAGAGCACTGGCTACTCTTCCAGATAATTCAAAGCAACCAAATAGTGTCTCACAACCATGTATAATAAGATCTGAGGCCCTCTTTTGACCTGCAGACATTCATATAGACAGAACCTTCATATACATAAAATAAACATTTTTTTAAAACAACAATTTGATTTTCCCTACAGAGAAAGTTCCAACTATTAGGAGTTTTGTTTGTTTGTTTGTTTGTTTGGGCTTTTTTTTGTTTTCTTTTGATTTTTTGGTAGTGAGAGTGGTCCTAGAGACTAAACCCAGAGCCTGATGTAGCATCCAATCTGTGAGAGCATCCAGAGTATTCTATGATTAGAACTTCCAAATATAGCAAAATGAAAACAACAGAACACATATAATTTTGCTTCATCTTTTCTATCTCTATGTATACACAGAAGAAACTGTGCAGTGGTTCATGAGAATTCTGCAGTTCATTAGGAAGCCGGGTCAGCTCAACAGGATGGAAAATAATTCAAATACCAAAACTCTGATTTCTTACAAACTTAGATACAATACCAAGAAACCAAGCAGACAAGTACATTAATTTTCAGAGAATTTAACATTTCCTAATAATCTGAAAAGAATTGACATGATCTATATAACTAGAACAAGAAAATAAGGTGTTAGACATGCAGAACTCTAGTAAGCTTGTGGTGTGTGCGTTAAGTGTCAGGGAAAGAAAGAGAAACAGAAACAAAGATGTAGCAGCAAAAATGAAATACTTCTTGTATGTCAAGGCAGCCGAGTTTCCCCGTCCCTCACCAATTCCAAACTCATAACTTAAGAATTGGCTTCTCCTTCCAAGAACTTTACAATCCAGTTAGTTACAATAGCTGGAGGGTTGGGAGTAAACACCATCATCCTAAAGGTATGTGAACAGGCAGAATCTACCAACACACAGACCAAGAAAAGGGATCAGGACTATTCTTTCACACAGGACTTATTTTCAAAGATAAAGATGGAAAAAGAATCTCAAGAAATGGACAATGCATAAGGGAACAAAAGTGTGGTAAAACTTAAGTTTACCTTCCTTTGGGGGTCCAATGCTAAAGTCTGTTACTACATAGTAAGTTTTTAAAAAGCACTGGGTTGATTTAATACAGACAATGCAGAGGAACTAGGTAGATTCCTGCAGCATCAATCCCAGGCCCTCTACATATGAGGCACTCCTTGGTTCCTTTACAAGTGAACTAGGGTTCACTTAGGGTTAACACTTGCTAACATATATCACAAGGACTTTCAAAGGAGAACAAAGCATTTGCTGGTAGCACATACACATACACACACAAATAAATGTCTGGGGTTTTTATTTGTCACCAAGCAAAGACCACATTCAGGATATTTTTAGGACAACTAATATCAGTAACAGCATGAAAAGCAAAACCAAGAAATCAGAAGTATCTTACTGTACACACAACTGCTAGAAGAACAAGAAAAAAAGTCACGGTGACTAAAAATACTAGTGAGAATAATAGAGAGTGGAAAACTCTTGGTGACCTTTTGATTTGGGGCCTACATGACTAAGAACATATTAAGTTCATTAAAATAAAGAAATAAGAAAGAGAGCTACTCAGTTCACAATGTAACAAATTCAAAGTAACAGAATGGCACCCAGTAAGAACTTACCAGAGAGAATTAACACAAGCAGCAAATCTCAAGGTTAAAGAAAATGAGCTAGTGATGCAAAATCAGGACAGAGGAGACAGGGGACAAGCAGATAAAACCACGAGCACAGATAGAAAAGGAAGATGAGAACCAAACCCAAGGATAGCCAAGTTAAGTGGGACCATTTCTGGGTGCTGGCTCAGAGCAGGTAGAGACTACAGTCCTTCACAGCACTTCACATTGGACAACTCTCAAAATGCAGTTTAACTTCCAACTATGAACTGAACTACATACTAAACAAACATGGGATTGTTGTGCAAAGTTATTAATTATTCTAATTAATTCCCACCAGGACAGAACTAACAAAGGATACTTAATAATTAGACATTATTCCAATATCTCAAAACTAAGAGAATTGTAACTTCATCTCCTTCTGCATCCAGACTTCTGATTATAAGCAATCGTTTTATAAACCCTTTTTCACTCTCCCTTTGTTTACTGACAGTCAATTCTCATTTTTCAGTCCCCTCCCAATACTCTCTACTTTGGCTTCTTCCTGGAATCCCAACTTTGGAAGAACAACTCCTGGTGAAATTTAAAATGGCTGTTCTTAAAACCCCAAATAGAATTTTAATACTCTCACATTTGTGATATGTAATAAACTTTGTGGTTTTTAGGCTGACCAAAACTAAACAAAGCCAAACAAACCCAAAAAAGGGAGAGGATGATGATGATGATGTAAACTGCAGTTGTACCCTTGTGCTTTTTATTTATAAAAAGAAACCCAAGACCCCAAATGCTTGATTTATCTCTAGCTACTCACACAAACATGTCCCCAAAAGAATGTTCAGGTTTAATTAAAAAGCAAGCTTTCCCATCAGCCACAGGACTATTTTAGCAGTAATCATGGAGAGCCTTGGATTTGCCAGGTAAGTTCTGTTCTTTAATTATACATGCGTTTCTCTTCAAATGCATAACTTGGTCATATTTTATTTACAACTCGAAATTATTCACATTTTCTTAAACTACAGTTAGTCACACGTACCAGAAAATGAAAATATTATATACTATAAGACACAAACCCCAGTAATACATTTTTAACTCTAATGTACTAAGCAAAGTTTTAATCTTGTCTCCTTTGTATTCTTTTCAATTTACAAAGTTTCAGCTATTTACCACGAGAAACCTCATCTGAAACGACATCATGATACTTTCCTACACTTATTTCTTTAGACATTTTTGATAAGGCAGCTTTCATTCCGGAGGACAAGGCAGGGCCATAAATGCAGTTCCAGTACTCAGCACACCCTTGGAAAGCAGAGCAGCTCCAGAGAGGCCAAAAGGCTGGCTCTCAGTCATGCGCTCGGTGCCGAGCTGACTGACCACAGAAGTAGGAAGACACTACTTAGGCTTTTATTTAAAAACGAAACAAAACAAAAAGTACCAGCATATTGTTGCGAAAAACAATGAAAACACCATAGATCTCTTCATGTCTTTTAAGTCTAGTTCCTAAATAAAATGCTCACAATTAAGTCTGATTTAAGGAAAGGCCTGTTTAGAATGAGATGGTTGCCTATGATTGATTACTTTACAAGGCTGTTTTCCTTGGAAGCTATCAAGCTTAGCACCATAACATATGTTTAATAAACACAGATAGTTGCAGTGCGGACCTGCTTCCTTTCGGTCTTGTTTACTGGCAAACTGTGCAGCATCACTTTTCTTCCACTTTCAGACTTCTCCCTAGGGTTCACCTTGCAAAATATTTAATCCGTGGTGGTACAAATTTCTAGATGTTGACTTTCTACGAGACTTCATCAAAAGTAGCCTCCTAGAGTTTAAAGAATTAAGTGCTGCCATCTAACCATATGGCATTTAAACTCTATGAAATGGATTTTTTTTAAAAAAGTAAACTTTGTGTAATCTTTAGGCAGTCATTCCCTCTCAGGTAAACTCGAGGTCTATGTAAACACTGTTTCATATGAAAGTATCACATGTGGCCTTAGATATTGTGAAAGTCAACATATTAAGTTGCAAAATACTGGCATGTAGGCCAGACACAGCCGTTCAGTTTTGATCCCAGCACTTGGGAGATGGAAGCAGAAGCAAAGAGTTCAAGGTCAGCTTCCGCTGCACAGGACTTTTCTAGCTCAGCTTGAGCTATAGGACAAGGTCGCAAATCACAAAGACACAGTAAGCTTTTAATGGACTTGCTACTGAAAGTGTGAAGCCCATGCTAAATAGTAACATTTAGCAATAAAGTATGTTACAAAGAAGAGTGGAGAGTTCCGTATATTACTGGCCCAAAAATCTACATTCTATATAGGACTTTAATTTTCCTCTATAAACACACTCCTCACATGCATCTACAATATCCTGAAAGGCTGACACATACACTTGGAATCGGGTTACCCTGAGTAGCAGGAGGGTAAATATTGGGGTTGGGGACCAGGACTCAGAGGGAGGGCAGGAGTCTTGTGTCTTCATTGTTTGGCAGGTTTGGGTTTTTGTTTTTGTTTCTTTCTAACAGAGCTCCATTTCTAAGAGCATCCCTCTTCATCCTCCTCTGTGCCCAAATTCTCCAGATTTGTAAACGCATAGCTGTGGTTTCAAGATTTTAAAACAACACGCATAAAAGCAATAAGCTGTAAAACACCTCGGCTTTGCAAACCAGCTCGCCCTGCTTCTCCCCACCGGTTCTCCCAGCTGGCATCTAAAATGCCAAAGCAGCGGACGCGCACCGCACTTACCGAAGACGCAGGAGAAGCTCACACAGCAGCAGCGCCTGCTCCGTCCCCGGAGCCGCGTCCCAGCCCCCCGCGTCACGAGCCTGCGTAGGCGGGAGTCCTCCAGGCCAAAGCAGCCGCAAGGCCGGCGGCGGGCGGAGCGCCGCAGAGACAGCCGACTGGCCCGGCACGGCGTCCGCCAGCGCCGGCGCGGGAAGGCGTGGCCCGACCCGCAACCCGCGACCCAGGCAGCTAGACGGCCTTAATCACCACCGCCTCCAGGGAGCTGCGCATGCGCGGGGCGCCCTAGTTGAAAGATGCCAGTCAACCGGACCTGGGAACACCCTCCATCCTGAGCCGGGTTGGACTCCGCCCTCTCGCTGATCGCCCCGCCCCTTAGCCAAACAACGCGAGGCTTGCCCAAGCGGCTGGCTGATGCCGCGAGAGCTGCGGCTACTGGCGTTCTGCCACTCTCCTGTTTCTGTGTTACGTAGCTCGGGACTGCCGGGGCTGGTTACGAAGTCCGTCATCCGCTCCGCGACGTGCCGATTACGGGGCCACCTCAACTCCAGCCTCTCCGTGGGGTCTCTGTAGTGGGTGATGGGCAGATGCCTGCGGGCCCGGCGCGCTCCCCATAACTGGCGGCGGTGGGTGCGTTGCCCTTGTGCAGGCGCTGCTGTCGCCCCGTCGGTCCACACCGAAGCCTCTGGGAACGAGTGCTTGTTGAGAGACCGCTAGAAGCAGGGGAAGCACCTACACCTATGGCCCTCCGCAGTAAACACATGTGTTCCTCCTTTGGGACTGTATTATTGTTTGTTTCCAGCACATTATAAAGGCACTTTCTCCCAAATGCTGTAATTTGTCACCAAATGCACGTGCTAGGTGTGGTGGCACCAGCTAGTAACCCCAGCACTTGGGATGCACAAGGTCTGTCTGAACTACATACATCTGTCAGATCCTTATCAGAAAAAAAAAAAAAGGTCTTGAGGCCTAGGTTGCTGCAGCCTAAAGTAACATTGTGTAAAGTGTTTAAGAACAGGATAAGGAAATCAGAGTTTCCAAACAAAATGATCGCTTGCAAACTAGCAAAGTTAACTTCCGCGGTGTTCTGATTTCAACTCAACAGCTTGTCTTTATGTTTCAAGTACAATGTTATGTTTGGTGGCATTTTAGCTCTGAACTGTGGAAAGTCTTACTGCCCCTTAGACTGAGGCTGTGGGTCAGATTCCTTAGTCCCATCGTTGTATCTCTCGCCTAGAACCAAAGCACTCCTGGCCGTTATGGAATCACATAAGTCTTTCAAGATTAGTTTTCTGATACTCCAGGAAGAAATATTAGCAGTTGAAAATACTTTATCAAATGGGTGTAATGGCTCGTGCTAGTAATCCCAGAAGCTCCGCAGGTGAAAGCAGTAGTCCACAATCATCTGCAAATACATACTTCATTTGAGGTCAGCCTGGGCTATATGAGGCTGTCTTTAAAAAAAAAAATCTTAACTATAAACATAATAAATCACATAATAATATAAATTAGGAACATTTGGGAGTTCTAATAGTATCCAGGCTGGCCTCAAACGTGAAATCCTCTTAAGTCTCAGCCTTCTGAGAAATCACAGATGTTGTTCCACTCTATCTGTTTTAAAATAGCAATGAAACTAGAAAACATTTTGGTTTTTCTTGTTTTTCTATCTTTCAGTCCCTATGAGCATTTTTTTTCTATTGGTTTAGAGTTGGACACTGCTTTTTCCTTTTTCTTCTCTCCACCTTCAAGGGCTGGGATTATAGGTATGCACCAATGACCATGTTTAATAAGAGAGATAAGTACTTTGTTTATAAAACAGGACCAGGGATTACTCTTTTAGAGCAGTTGAACTGCAAAGAATCATGCAGTAACTTCCTGTGTATACACCTGGTACCTGCCACCTACCCATGTTTCTAATTGTGTCCCACATTGTGCTTTTTGCACCTGTCATTTCTTTCTTTCTTTTATTTTTTGGGTTTTTTTTTGTTTGTTTGTTTGTTTGTTTGTTTGTTTGTTTTTGAGACAGGGTTTCTCTGTTTAGCCCTGGCTGTCCTGGAACTCACTCAGTAGGCCAGGCTGGCCTCAAACTCAAATCTGCCTGCCTCTGCCTCCCAAGTGCTGGGATTAAAGGTGTCCGCCACCACCGCCCGGCTCACCTGTCATTTCTTATGATATGTATCCTCCCACAACTCTGTAATCTGGGAAGGTCCGATACTGAGTACCAAACTACTTCCAAATCTTGATACACTATTGATACTTGTCTTTGTTATAAAGATTTTAGACTTTATATAGCCTACAGGCAATTTGTTCTGGGCATTCTCCATCCACGTATTGACAACAAATTTAACATGTAAAGATTTCGCTTTGTGACAGGGTCTTTATGTAGACCTGGCTGCCCTGGAACTTGCTGTGTATTCCAGGCTGGCCAGAAATTCATAGAGATCTGCCTGCCTCTGCCTCCTCTGTGTTGCAATTAAACTCATGCACGACCACATCCTCTGGTTTCCAACTTTTTATATTCAGTGAAATTTAGAGACTACATATACAATTAAAATACAACTATGTTTTTGTTTAGCCAAAGTTAGTTGATCCTATTCTATGACTAATTCAGAAATCTCTGTCCTGTTTAACATATTCTTTAACACATTAAAGAAACCCCAGAGAAGGCACCAAAATTCATAGATGTCATATTAATGAATGAAAACACTGGCTTTCTATTATGTTAATCTGGCCAAGAGAAAGCACAAACTTGAATTCTCCACTTCTTTTCCTGTGTCTTCTGAATGCCTAGGGTCTGTAGTTATTGTTCTGTCTGTAATATATCTGGTGTGTGTGTGTGTGATTTGTCTGTCCCTTTTTTAAAAAAAAAATATTTATTTATTTTATGTATATGAGTACACTGTAGCTATCTTCTAACACACCAGAAGAGGGCATCGGATCCCATTACAGATGGTTGTGAGCCACCATGTGGTTGCTGGGAATTGAACTCAGGACCTCTGGAAGAGCAGTCAGTGCTCTTAACCACTGAGCCATCTCTCCAGCCCTTGTCTGTCTCTTATGCCTGGCTATTATACTATGCATATCTGAATCTGTGCCTGTCCCTGGTAAAGGATTTTGCTCTGTATTTACTGAAAAGCATAGAGAACATGGTATAGGAAAGAAAAACTTAAGAGTTTTACAAGAGAAGAAGTTATTTTCCTGACACAGAACAACATTCAAAACTGAAAACATGCTATCAACCTACATCTGCATGTTGCTTGCAACATTTATAAGATATTTGCAATTAAAAACAGACACAGAACTGTACAAAAGAATTGGAAACGTCTATCTTTTATAACTGTACTAATCGAAACATTATGGTACAAGACTTACAAACAGGCCAGGTGTGGAGGTACATGCCTTTGATCCCAGCACCAGGTAGGCAGAGGCAGGCCAGTCTTTGTGAGTTAGATGTCAGCCTGTGCTACATAGTGAGTTTCAGGTCAGCCAGAGTTACACCATACAATCCTATATGAAAGTAAACATGATTCACATTTATATCAGTCCTTACCTCCTACCTTCTGTGAGGCCCCTTTGAATCCAAAGCCTCTTTAATCCTTTCTTAGCCATGCTGTGACACATTTACCATGGTGTTACAGAATGTTGGAATTACAGGTTTTGGGGAAGCTAATATTAGTAATTGAAATTGTGATAAAAACACCTGTGCTTCCCAGTGGATATGGACACAAAGTGAAATCTGTATTAAGTAGTGAGTTTTTGGGAGCCGACTCCTAGCAGAAAGCAGCTATCATCTTTGCAGCCATCTCGAACCATATCCCCTGACAAGAGACTTGTTTTCAACAGCCTGCAACAGCTGAGCACACTCTGATAAACATCTTGTTTTTCTCACATATCTTGTTTTGCTGTTTAGTGCCGCTAGCAGCTAGGCGCACATGGTCTCCGCACTGCTAGCTAGGTGCGTGTGATATCCACACTGCAAGGCACATGACGTAGTGCCTTCAGCTGTGCTTGTCCATGAGGACAAGGCACGTGGTAAAGGGTATTAATACCCAGGATTTCCTTTCAATAAACGAGACTTGATCAGATTCTGTCTTGTCTCCATTCTTCGAGTCTCTCACCCCTCCATCCCTGCTCTTTCTCTTGCTAGACCCTGACCTGCGGACAGGAGCAGCAGAAAGGGCCTTTACAGTGAGGGTTGTTTTTTTTTTTTTTTTAAAGATAATAGCTGGGCACAGTGACACATACATTAATCACAGCACTTGAGAAGCAGAAGCAGGCAGACCACTTGACCTCTAGGCCAGCTTGTCTAATAAACCAGACAGAACTATGCAGTAAGTTCCTGTTTCAAATAAAATAAAATAGTTTTGGAATTTACTGTTATTGAATAAATTTTGACATTATAGAAAGTATAAATGTGTCTGTCTACTTTCTGATATAGATTATTCTCTGCTGAGCACAGTGTGGCCCTTGTGGGGACAGAGTGAGATGGTTCCTGCCCCTGGGACAGGGCTCCAGTGTGAGCCTCCATGAGTGTCAATAGCTGCTATGGGCATAAGGCTTGTTGGTGTAATAACATACATGTTTTCACATCCCTTTAGTAGAAATAATACTAATAATACTTGTCCAGGATAATCTGAGACAGAATGAGTCCAGGAGGTAAAGGTGTGGCTAATGTCTCAGCAAAATGGTAAATACTGGGACCTTCAGGACAGCCCTTGAGGCTATGGAGAGAGCTCTAAATACATGAGTTCAAAATATATATAATTTTTCAACTATGCAAAATATAAGTATGCAATGAATTATGAGAGGCTTCATGAGTCTAAAGGAACAAAGGCAGCTACCCTATGAACCAGCCTGTCAGAAAAATACAAAGGCAGGCAGATTCCTCAGTTCAAGGTCAACCTAGGACACATTTGAGGTTAGATATGATACAAAAGGTAATTTCGGAGCAGCGTCCCACCCAACTATCTTAAAGTCTGTACTTAACAAAGGCAAACAGATCTCTGAATTCTTTTGCAGTATTAAAAAAAAAATGTGTGCTTTCTGTATCTTAAGAATCAAAGGGCAGGATTCACAGAACCTGATTTCATAAGATAATATAAA